GAAAAAAAAAGAACTCGACGTGCATGATTTTTTTTCACTCATTAAATGTATGTAAAAAATCTCGTCGGCCCGCCTGCATCCAGGGAGTGCAGCAGACTTGGGCTCAAAATACTGGCCCAGACGGTGAGTGGGCCTGAAGTCAGATTTCCTTCCTTATGTGTTTTTTTTCACTTATAAATTAAACAAGCAATGCTTAAACCGAACTGGCGCCTGTCGAACAAAGAGTAGTTCATACTAATACTATGCATGTGAAAAGTGAACTGCACTATTTCTACGGATCTACTTATACGAATTAAAATTTGCCAAAATCACCAACGCCAACAGGCGCCATTTTTAAGACGCGGTTGATCCGAGCGAACTCGCGCCATTTCAACAAACGTTGACGAGTGAGAACAAGCGGCTGCCCGCTGCCTCCTCATCCTGCCTGAGAATATACATACCCACACGGCCACACCCAACAAGTAGCAGATCGATCACCATTGCTTGCAAGCATAAGCTCCTAGTCCGCCATGGTTTCCACGCTCATCAAGCACAAGAGGGCTCGTCCTGCTCAACCGACGACGCCTTGCCCCTGGCCCGGCTGCACCACCATGCCATGCACACCACCGTCACCGTCCACGCAGCACAAGAGGGCTCGCCGTCCTGCTCAGCCGACGACGGTTACCCCTACGGCGGCGGTGCCCCAGCCCGACTGGTCGTCGCTCACCGCGGACCTCGTCCGCCGTGTCGGAGAGCGCGTCGTGGCTGCCGACGACATCGACTACTACATGGCCTTCCGCGCCGTCTGCCACAACTGGCGCCGCGCCCTCAAGGACAACAACGCGGCAAACTGCACCGACGATCCCACCTGCTTCCAGCCGAGCAAGTGGGCGGTGCTGGACCGGCACGACGATCACGTCCTCGCGCTTGTCAACCTGGAGACCGGCCGCTTCCTCCGCAAGAGGCTCCCGCTGCTCCGCGACTACTTCTTCGTCGGCGCCGCCAGTGGTGGCCTCCTCCTCCTCGCGGAGCCAACGTACCCCTACCGCGCCCGCCTCCTCAACCCTTTCACGGGCGCGCTGGCTCGCTTCAAGGCACCCGTTCCCGTGGGCGAGGTTAGGGAGGTCGCCGTGGTGGCGACGTCGCCGACGACGACGACGGTGTTCGTCTCCATGCTAACCGACGATGGCGCCGTCATGTGGGCAGACCAGGACAGCAAGTACTTCGGAGAGTGTGCTGCACCGGCTCCTTACCCCGACGACGGTCTCCTGTGCATGGTTCCCTTCGCCGGCGACGTGTACCTCACCAACCGGCAAGGAGCCGTGCTCTCTACTGCTGCTGCGGCCGTCGTCGACGACGATATGGTGCCTTCCAAGGACGACGACATTGCGGGCTGCCGCTCGGTTCAGAGCATCTCCATGGCCACTGCCATTCCGGAGGCATTGTTGGGTGACAGTTGCCATTATTACCTTGTGGAGTCTGGGGGAGAGCTGCTGCTTGTGACCAGACCTGCTTGGTGCGGCGTGCCCGGTGATCAGCTTTCCGTCCACAGGGTGGACACCGTGAGGAACGTGCTTGAGCCGGTGAGGTCCATCGGCAACCGCGCCCTCTTCCTCAGCCGTGTCAGGTGTGTCTCCGTCGACGCTGACAAGTTCCCGGCCGTCCAAGGCGGCTGCATCTACTTTGTGGATCAGTTAAGCTGCTACTTCGACGTGCAGTTCTCGTTCATGACCGTTGTTCGCTTCCCTCACGAAGCTGACGGAGTGCAACAGCCTAAGGTGGATGTAAGCCCCATACCAGCAGATTGTTTCCAGCCGTTCACCCTGGCCCATGTTTTTGCAAATTACTGCAAGTTCGTCCAATGTTCTGAACTGCGCCGCCAAATTATGATCGATGGCGAGGAAGATTTCTCAGACGACGACGAGGAGGATTCTGATGACGACGAAGATTATTTCTCAGATGATGACGACGGATCTGATGGAGGTTGGAGGGTCCTCTGAATCTGATCTGATCAGTGAAAAGGGATACATATGCATTATGCAAAATGCACAGTGTCTCTGTTACCTACGAGAGGGAACCTCTCAGAGGCTTTTACATTCTCTAGCAAGCTACTAGCTCTCAGAGGCTAGCGTTCTTTCATAGGAGTATGTTGTTGCATCCATGGGTCTCTGTTCATCTACTTATTTAGCTATATACATGTTGCAATCTTGTAACTTTGAAGTGTCAATGAATTCAAATTATGTTACCACATCGTTGGCTCGTCAATTTCTCAAACTAGTGCTGGTGAATCTTGACCACTTTTGCAAGTGAGGTGGGCACCTAGTTTCTCCACAGGCTGGATAACAGTACAGAAAGCTCTCAAGAGCAATGCCTGGGTCAAGCATGTTTATTTGGCTGCCAAATCTTGTTCAATTCACTGCACACGCTCCATTAAAAAATTTGAAGTTCTATTCAATTTAGAAGGCTAGAGCTGAACTGAAATGTGGCGTCCTAACACACACGTACATAAATCCTTGTACAACAATAAATTTGCAAAAAAGATGTCCGCGAGATCAGATTGTGCTCGGCTCACTGCAACACCTCAGCACCTATGCTTTGCATACATGGGCATCTCAAATTCGACTGTCTTGGTCAACCGGATTCTATTTACAACTGGCGGAGGAAAACAAGGAGAAAGCACTATATATGTCAAAAAAAAAACAAGAGTCCACAGAATAAGAGTTTACAACATCTATAGGCAGCCTTCTGGATCAAAGAACCAATCCAATAGTATTGAAAGCTTGCTTGAACCAAAATTATTTTCTCTAAATCAAGAAGGAAACAATACACCATGTATGTTTTCTCCAATATTCTCAGATTTTAGTATTTAAATGCATATTAATTCTGAAAACTATTCAGAACTTTTTATTTGAAAAATTATTTCTATAATTTTTTATCAAGTCTAATTGAACTCCCTGAACCATTGCAGTAACTCAATCCTTGGCGGTTTGCTTGCTGAACTAGGTTTTTTTGTCTCAAGAGATTACGCCTATGTGACACTATGCCAAAACTGATAATCACCGCCAGGTAGGAGCCTCCCATCACTACCGCAATGTCTGGCAGAGTACAATCGATAGTTATAGCCTGTCGTATGTTTTATTTTTCTAGTATTTCTTTTATCCCTGGATGCACGTTTCAAACTAAGCCGACCACATGCGTATATTCATGTTTCCCTTAAAAAATAAGGATTAATTAAACTGACACCTACTACACTAAATTTAAAAAGATTACTAGGGGTATGGCTGTATGTGAATTGTGAAACTACATCCATCACTAAACATGATTATTCTTGGACTTGATTGTGTAGGAATGCATCGGAAAAGCATCAGTACACCAAGAACAGTGTGTCGTTGATACGGTTGTAAAAAAGAATTCTAAGTTTACATCAAGAATCAAAATTTTGATATGCTAACTATACCGTAAAGTACTACTCCATCTATTCCAAATATTTAAGACGTTTTGGCTTTTCTAGTTGGTTTTGTATCTAGAGATAGTGTATATATAAGTGTATAACAAAAGTTATACATAGAAAAGCCAAAATATCTTATAATTTGGAATAGATGGAGTACATTTTTCCTTTGACAATGAAGGAACACATACAATGACGAGAATTAGGCACATTTCAATATTTCATCGAAATATATACTGTATTGAGTAATAATATAATAAAAAACTAATGTGTTTTTTGTCACTCTATGCCAACACCTCATACGAAATCCCATGGCTGTAAGTCGCTGGTGGTGATCTGCTTGCTGACTAGGTATTGGCCTCTAGATTATATATCCTGGGTTTTGTGAAAAGCTGGCATGTGTTGTAGATTTTAAATTTCCTAGTATTCTTTTTAATCCCTGGATGCGCATGTCAAATTAAAGCGGCCCCATGTTTTAAAATGGTCCGTTCTCTTCACTGAAAAAACAAGACGAAATACTGTTCCGACTGATTTTTAAAGAGAAAAACAATGTTCATGCTAAAAAAACAAGTTGAAAAGTACGAATTATAAGACAAACGAACAGGGCCAATAAAGTTTTTAAAATACCACCTAGTACACCAAATTTAAAAAGATTACTAGTGGTGACTGTACGTGAGACTGCATTGATCACTACGCCCTTCATTCTAAATTATTAGACAGTTCGGCTTTTCTAAATATATTGTATTTTATTATGTATCAAGATATAGTGTGGGTCTAGGTGCATAAGAAAAGTTACGTATGTAGAAAAGTCAAAACATCTTGTAATTCGAATCGGAGGAAGTAATAAATTTCTGCTAAAAATAACCAGCCCAGGAGAGAAATTAATGCACATATATATAGACAAAAATTACAGGTAAGAACAGGCAGCAATGAAATGTCTGCGCACCCTCACTTATTTAAAGCTGTTGACTATCTGGTGTGCACCCAACAACTGCTTATACAGCTATAAAGAGCCATCAACTTCGCTGTGAAGTCCTCACCCAAGCAGAAGCCGCAGGAGCCACGAGCATATAGCAAGCAACCAAACCGAGAGAGACAGCCATGCCTTGCACACTCTCCACCCAAAAGAGGGCTCGCCTTGCTCAGGTGCCGGCTCCGATGTCCGTGATCTGGGCGTCGCTTCCATTCGACCAAGTCCGTAGCGTGGGGGACTGCTTGTTGGCCGACAACGACATCGACGACTACATGGCGTTTCGTGCAGTCTGCCATGACTGGCGCTTCGACACCAAAGACGGCCCTACCAAGCCGAAGGCAGGCGACGACACCGATCCTGCCGCCCACTTCATTCCAAGTGGGCGTTGCTTAGTCGGTCTGATGACCTTGTCACGCTCGTCAACGTCAACACCGGCCGGTTCCTCTACAAGAGGATCCCAGTGTTGCGCCAGTTCTCCTTCGTCGGCGCAACGAGCGGTGGACTCATCCTCCTCGAGGATTCAACGGAGCCCCACCGGGCTCGTGTTTTGAACCCCATTTCAAGGTGAGGATACCCTGCATAAAGGTGAGGACGGTTGCTATGACAACGAAGCCGCCATTGACGGTCTTCATCTCCACCGAGTCTGAAAATGATGAGATCATGATCATGTGGGCGGATCAAGGCATGGAGAGCTTCAAGCGCTTCTCGATGGCTTACCCTAACAAGCCTACCTACATCATGTCCTTCGGCGGCAACATGTACGCCACCGATCGGTACGGATCGATCTATTTGTCCACTGTCCCAGCCTATGTCGTCACTGCCGCCACTGGGGAACCGAGGCGCCGATCTGCGGTGGACATCTCAATGGATGCCATCTTGTTGGGGTTTGGTGGGGGAGCACAACATATAAGGCGGGAGAACCCTCACCTATCAGACTAGTCTTTTGGGTTGAGTAAGGCCCAAGGCCTTATATGTTGTAGCTCGGTGGACTGAGACACACTGTGGGAGCCTTGGGCTCGTGGTAGTACCGGGCCACACAAGCCACCTCCAAGACCGAGAACTTCGGTGGTCACCGCCGAGTTCCATCAAGTGGTATATCGGGCCATGGTCGGAAAAAGCTAAACCCGATAAAAAAATCTCGATCTCGTCACATATGGCGGGGCACCCGATGTGTGACTAAAGGGAGATGTTGGGGTTTAGTCCCACATCGATATGCGATGGTGGGGGAGCACAACATATAAGGGAGAACCCTCACCCATTAGGCTAGTCTTTTGGGTTGAGAAGGCCTCAAAGGCCTTATATGTTGTAGCTCGGTGGACATCGCTACACGATGGGACTAAACCCCAACAATCTCCTTTTAGTCACACATCGGGTGCCCCCGCCATGGTGACGCCGAGATACCAATCTGCTTAGCTTTGGTGACCATGGGCCTCGATATACCACTTGATGGAACTGTGGTGACCACCGATACCAATTGTTTGGAGGTGGCTTGTAGCCGAGCCTCGGCTCTGCTCGATAAGCGCAGCTCAAGCGCCTCAGCACAGTCTCAGTCCACTGAGCTACAACATATAAGGCCTTGGGCCTCTCAACCCAAAAGACTAGTCTGACAGGTGAGGGTTCTTCCGCCTTATATATGTTGTGTTCCCCCACCATCGCTACACGATGTGGGACTAAACCCCAACAATCTCCCCCTTAGTCACACATCGGGGTGCCCCCGCCATATGTGACGCTCGAGATTTTTTTATCGGGTTTAGCTTTTTTGACCATGGGCTCTCGATACCAATTGTTGGAACCGATGATGACCACCGAAGTTCACGATCTTGGAGCTGGCTTGCAGCCGGCCCGGCTCGTTACGAGCCTGCGCTCCCACAGGTCCTAGGTCCACCAGAGCTGACAACATATAAGGTCTTGGACCTTACTCAACCCAAAAGACTAGTCTGATAGGTGAGGGTTCTCCCGCCTTATATGTTGTGCTCCCCCACCATCGCTACACGATGTGGGACTAAACCCCAACAATCTCCCCCTTAGTCACACATCGGGGTGCCCCCGCCATATGTGACGCTCGAGATTTTTTTTATCGGGTTTAGCTTTTCTGACCATGGGCTCCGATACCACTTGATGGAACCGGCGGTGACCACCGAGTTCTCGGTCTTGGAGGTGGCTTGCAGCCGGCCTGGCTCGTTACCACGAGCCTGCGCTCCCACAGGTCTCAGGTCCACCGGAGCTACAACATATAAGGCCTTGGGCCTTACTCAACCCAAAAGACTAGTCTGATAGGTGAGGGTTCTTCCGCCTTATATGTTGTGCTCCCCCACCATCGCTACACGATGTGGGACTAAACCCCAACACATCTATCCTATCCTTGACATTGCTGCTCACATAGGTGATCCAGCACTGATGAGTGGCAGGTATTATCTCGTGGAGTCCACAGGAGATCTGCTGCTCATGACCAAACTGTCAGACTTTATTATCGACCAACCAGTAGTTCGTGTTAAGTAATCTGTTGCTCTCTTCTGTACGACGAGGCAGGGGCAGGCGTTGAAAGAGTTTTTTTGTTGCTGCACTGTAGTCGTTGCAGGGGCAGGTGCCGAAAGGCTCACCTGCCGCACTGTAGCCACAACAGGGGCAGACGCCAAAGTCAACACTGCTGTCACATCTAGTCACTGTAGCAGCATGGCAGCCTGATATGTCTGTGCATTAGGATTAGATGGGTAGAGTTGTATATATAGCTTCCCACTGCAACTCAGTAAAGTGAGCGAGTTCAGTTTTGCCATCTTCTCTACAGAGCTCCAGCCAACGCTGGTGCTTATGCTGTGTGTGTGCTCTGTTCTCCCTCCCTTCTTCTACCTCTAGCCATAGTGTGTGGTCGGCAACGTCGGTGAGCGGTCGGCTCACCCGTGCCAGAGATCCAGGGGCCAACAAGTGGTATCGGAGCCATACAAGTGTCGTCGCCGGACTAACCGCTAGTGATGATGGATGGTTTGGAGAGGGCGACAACAACGGCGCTGTTGTGGCTGCCCAGCCACGACAGGAGGTCGTCGTGCACACGGTGCGGGAGGTCAAGCAGCAGCACCAGTTGGCCGACGCTGACTCGCACCAACTATGGCGAGTGGGCGGTGACCATGAAGGTCAAGCTCAGAGCCCGATGGCTTTGGAATGCTATTGACAAGGGCACCGACAATGAAGAAGATGACATATCAGCGTTGGAGGCTATCCTCGCTGCTGTGCCAGCGGAGTACAGGAGCCGTTGGGGTGAAGAGCTCTGTTAAGGAGGCGTGGGAGGCCATTGCGGCGATGCGCGTCGGTTTCGACCGCGCAAAGAAGGCGACGGCCCAGCTGCTGAAGCAGGAGTACGCCATCCTTAAGTTCAAGGATGGTGAATCGGTGGAGGACTTCTCCTTCCACCTGTAGTCGCTCATCAGCAAGCTGAGGAGCCACGGCGTCACCATCGATGAAGAAGATGCGATCTCCAAGTACCTCCACTCCGTGCCAGTAAAAAACATCTAGATCGCTCTCTCCATAGAGATGATGCTGGAATTGTCCACCCTCACCATTGAGGATGTGACAGGCCGTCTACGGGCAGTGGACGAGCGCATGGAGCAGGCCACAGCAACGACGGAGAGCGGCAAGCTGCTGTTGACAGAGGAGGAGTGGAATGCCCGGAGGAACTCTGGGGAAGCCTCCTCTAGCCGCGGTGGCAATGGCAAGCGTCGCGGCAAGGATTCTTCGGAAAAGAAGAAGAAGAAGAAGGTCGACCCCAACGCCTACTAGCGTTGCGGGAAGATGGGTCATTGGGCAAAGGAGTGCCCAAATCGCAAGCAGGAGAAGAAGGCTGAGGCTCATCTGGCGCAAGCTGATGATGATGATGAGGCCACTCTCCTGATAGCGACGTTCTGTGCACTACACGACATTGAGGCCAAGGAGAAGGGAGAGGTGAAGGCGGTGGAAGGGCCTGAGAAGGCTCTAAAGGCTGTCAACATCGACGAACCGCGCGCCCAAGTCCACCTCAGATGTGCGGGCGGTGAACAGGAGCAACAGTGGTACCTAGACTCCGGCGCCAGCAACCACATGATGGTCTCCAAGGAAGCCTTCTCTGAGCTCGACAGCAACGTGACTGGCACGGTGAAGTTCGGTGATGGCTCAAGGGTGATGATCCAAGGGCGCGGCACCATCATCTTCAGGTTCCAGAACGACGAGCACCGCGCGCTGACGGATATATATTACATCCCGTAGCTGTGTTCAAGCATCATCAGCATTGGCCAGTTGGATGAATACGGAAGCGAGGTACTAATCAAGGACGGAGTCCTCAGGATCAGGGACTGGGAGGAGCGCCTTCTTGCCAAGGTGACAAGGTCCCAGAACCAGTTGTACCTGCCCGACTTGAAGGTGGAGCAGCCAGTGTGCCTGGCAGTACGGTACATCGAGGAGCCGTGGTTGTGGCATGCCCGGTTCGGCCATCTCAGCTTCGACGCGCTCGGTCGGCTAGAGAAGATGGTCTGAGGGCTACCCCACATCAAGCACGCAGGCGAGCTATGTGACAGCTGCCTGGCCGGGAAGCAGAGAAGGCTACCGTTCCCAAAGGCGGCCAAGTATCGCGCGGCGGACGCTCTCGAGCTCGTCCATGGTGATCTCTATAGGCTAATCACGCCAGCCACAAATGGTGGTCGGCGGTAATTCCTCCTGCTTGTGGATGATTACAGTCACTACATGTGGCTGCAACTCCTGATGAGCAAGGATGAGGTGGTGAAGGCGATCAAGAAGTTCAGGGCGCGCGTGGAGGGGAAGAGAGGGAAGAAACTGCACGTGCTGTGGACTGATCGGGGCGGCAAATTCACTTTGGTGGAGTTCACTGCGTACTGCGCCGATCTGGGTGTGGTGCGACACCACACCGCGCCATACTCACCACAGCAGAATGGCATGGTGGAGCGGCGGAACCAGACGGTGGTCGGCATGGCTCGATCCATGATGAAGGCCAAGAGCATGCCAGCAAGGTTCTGGGGTGAGGCGATGACCATGGTGGTGTTCGTCCTCAATCGCGCGCCCACCAAGGTCCTGAAGGGCAAGACATCATTCAAAGCTTGGTATAGGCACAAGCCGAGCGTGTCCTTCCTCCAGACATTCGGCTGCATTGGCCACGTTAGGAAGACAAAGTCGGTCCTCACCAAGCTAGAGGACAGGAGCACACCGATGGTGCTCCTGGGCTACGAGGAAGGTACCAAGGCATACCGGCTCTATGACCCATGCGGAGGCAAGGTGGTTGTCTCACGCGACGTCGTGTTCGACGAGAAGGTGGCCTGGGACTAGGACAGTCCGAGCACGGGGGAAGCTGGCGAATTCACCAGCACCTTCATCGTCGAGCACTTGGTCATCCACGGTGGTGGAGACGCTGGAGAGGACTTGCTGACCACTCTAGCAATAGAGCCGAGCACTCCTAAGGCGGTGCTGAGCACTCCGGGAGGGGTGCCGAGCACTATAGGAATGGTGCCGAGCGGTCCTGCAGTGGTACCGACCACTCCAGAATGGGTGCCGAACACTCCCGTAGCGGAGCCGAGAGGTCTTGTAATGGTGTCGACCACTCCAAGACTGGTGCCGAGCAGTTCGGGAGGGGTGCCGACCACTCCAGGAGTGGTGACGAGCGGTCCACGAGTAGTGTCGAGCACTCTAGGTGCTGTGCCGACCACTCTAGGTACTTTGCTGACCACTCCGGTGGAACAGGGGACTCCATCAATGCCGATTGAGTTCGCCTCACCTCCAAACGACATCACCGAGTTCGTAGATGCCTTCCACGACGGTGAGAAGGTGTGGTTCCTCAGGCTGGACGACATCATCGACGGCATAGGGCCCTCAGACCTAGCGGGTCGGCTGCTCGATGACCCAGAGCTACTTCTCGTCAGTGTAGAGGAACCACCCACGTTCGCGCTGGCCAAGCGCGATGCAAATTGGCGACGGGCGATGCTGGAGGAGATGAAGGCGATCGAGGAAAATGAGACTTGGGAGCTCGTTGATCCACCTCCAGGATGCCGTCCGATTGGCCTAAAATGGGTGTACAAGGTCAAGCGGGACGAGCACGGCGCCATTATCGAGCACAAGGCGCGCCTCATCGCCCGAGGCTTTGTCCAGTGCGAGGTTATCAACTTCGAGGAAGTCTTTGCGCCGGTAGCACACATGGAGTCTATCCGACTGTTGCTAGCTTTAGCAACAGCGAAGGACTAGCGCGTCCATCACCTAGACATAAAATCAGCCTTCCTCAATGACGAGCTGGCGAAGATGGTCTTCGTCAGGCAACCTCTGGGTTTCGCCATCAAGGGAGGGAGCATAGGGTGCTCCGACTGCGCAAGGTGCTCTACGGGCTGCGGCAGGCTCCGCGAGCGTGGAACGCCAAGTTTGACGCCACGCTAGGCGAACTTGGGTTCACATGGTGCACAACCGAGCACACGCTCTACATGCGGCGATGGGGGAAGGAGGAGCTCGTCGTCGTCGTGTATGTGGACGACTTGATCGTCACCGGCGCATGTGCACAAGACATCGACAGTTTCAAGCGCGAGATGGTGGCTTGTTTTCGAATTAGCGATCTCGGCGCGTTCTCCTACTACCTTGGCATTGAGGTGAGACATGGGAAGGAGGCGCTCACGCTCCGTTAGAGCACGTACGCCTCGAAGCTGTTGGAGCGGAGCGGCATGGCTGAGTGCAAGATGTGCGTGACTCCGATGGAGGAGCGGCTGAAGCTGACAAAGGCCAGTACCGCGGCGAAGGTAGATGCAACACTCTACCGGAGCATCATCGACGGTTTACGCTATCTAGTCCACACAAGATCGGACATTGCGTTCGCCGTGGGCTACGTCAGCCGCTTCATGGAGGATCTCCGATAGGATCACTAGGCGGCAATAAAGCGGCTGCTGCGTTATGTCAAGGGAATGATGGATCAAGGGATCGTCTTCCCTAAGACCGATGGAAGTGGGTTGCAGCTCATTGTGTTCAGCGATGCAAACATGGTGGGAGACATTGACGGACGGCGAAGCACCTTTGACGTGCTCGTCTTCCTCGGATCAGCTCCAATCTCATGGTTGTCGCCGAAATGAAGGTGGTGGTAACCGCCCCGCGTCAGCGAGAGCGAATGCGTGGCGGCGGCCACAGCGGCGTGCCAAGTTGTGTGGCTACGCCGACTGCTGGGCGAGCTGACCGGTGTGGAAGCTCATCCACCAGCACTGATGGTGGACAACCAGCCCGCCATCGTCCTCGTGAAGAATCCGGTTCTCCATGACCGGAGCAAGCACATCGACGTCAAGTTCCACTTTCTCAGGGACTGTGTCGATGGAGGGCAGATCGTCATCGAGTTCGTCGAAACTGATCGGCAACTCGCGGACGTCCTCACCAAGGCGCTTTGCCGTCTTCGGTTCACGGAGTTGAAGAAGATGATCGGCATGGTGAAGGTTATAGGGTTAGCAGCAAGATTAGGAGAAGAATTGTTAAGTAATCTGCTACTCTCCTCTGTACGGCGTGGTAGGGGCAGGCACCGAAAGGGCTCCCTATTTCACGCATCTGTAGTCATTGCTACTGAGGGCGATGCCGAAAAGTTCACCCGCCAGATCAGAGCTACACCAGTAGGGCAGACGCCAAAGTCACCCTCATCATATCCAACATCAGAGTAAAGATGACATGATGACTGCATGTCTATGCACTATGATTAGATGGGTAGAGTTGTATATATAGCTTCCCACTGCAACTTAGTAAAGTGAGCGAGTTCATTTTTGCTATCTTCCCTGCAGAGCTCCGCCCAACGCTGTTGCTTGTGCTGTGTGTATGCTATGTTCTTCCTCTCTTCTTATATCTCTAGCCATAGTACGTGGTCGACCATGTCGGTGAGCGGTCGGCTTACTCGTGCCGGATATCGAGCGGCCGACAGTTCGTAGGGTGAACACGGAGACTCGGGTGATTGAGCCGGTCAGTAGCATCGACAGCCTTACCCTTTTCGTTAGCCATGTCTGGTGCCTCTCGATCAACGCTGACAAGTTCCCGTCCATCCAAGGCAGTTATGTCTACTTTCTGGAACCAACCATATTTGGATCCTACTACTACGGCGCTGTAGACACGACCATTGTTCACGTTGCTGACAATATCGTCGTCGAGTTCGCTGGGGGTTATGGTTCCTTAGAAGGTTTCTTCCGTCCGTTCACCCTCGCCCAGGTCATCACCGATTCTCGCAAGTCCATCCACTATTCTAAATCAGTACGAAATGATGATGCTCAGCAAGTGGGGCATCTGGGATAACTCGTATGACGACTCTGAATCTGATGAATCATCATCCTCTGAACTCGATGACGAAGAATCCTCCTCCTCAGAACACGATGATGATGAAGCATCCTCCTCTGAACCAGCTGACGATTGAATGAGCCTGTATGCTTGATGTCTGCATACTCCACTCTCTCCAACGGAAGGCACCTACAAGTCTGCTAGAATACTACTATTTCATGTTGTTAATTTCTTCAGTTCGGTAGCCTACTCTCTTTAATAATCTTAAGCCCGCCAGGGCAGTGTTGTTCATTTGTTGCAGCTGCAGAGTCGTAGTCTGTAATAATCTTCTTTGGGATGTAGGCATGGCCAATTATATCGGTCAGATATGTTGGTCAAATAATTCAATTTTCAATTTTAGCTTTCAAATGTTCTGATGAATTCGAGTGCTTGTGCATTAATATCTTCACCGGATGATGTGTTCATGTTTCAATCAGTAGAGTTCTAGGTGTAGAAATATATATTTGATGAATGCTTAATTCAGGGGAAGCGAGTTTTTTTATCGAATGCGCACGAGATCTATTTATTTTATTAATTAGCAGGAGGAGACTAGTATAGATGAAAAATTGGCAAGTGATAGAAAACTTATAAAAGAGAAAAAAAAATTATACTCCCCCGTTTTGCGTCGTATTATTACGTATTCGGCTCTTCTTTCATCTCGGCACAGACGGCGCTGAAAAGCCACATGTCTCCTTAAGTTATATTGGCTAGTGGGGATGACTATCTTCCAACCAACGAGAGTTCGATTCTCATCCTTGCTACGTACTAATTCTATATATGTTAATGTTAATTTGATGTTATTTAGGATTTCCCTTAGGAATAAAATAGGGTGCTTGTCACCTAGCCATCCAAGGTTCAATTCTCAACCCACGGGATCCATTTATTTTATTAATTAGCAGGAGAGTATAGACGAAAAAATGGCAAGTGATAGAAAACTTATAAAAGAGTAAAGAAAAATACTCCCATGTTTTGCCGCTCAAAACCACTTGTCGCCTTGAGTTTTATTGGCTAGTGGGGGATGGCTATCTTCCAAGGGTTCGATTCTCACCTTGCTACGTATTAATTATATATGATGTCATTTTAATCGAAGTGTCATTTTTATTGGAGTACTGAGGAATCAATGAGGGTTCGATCCCCACCTTGCTATGTGTTAATTCTATATATGTTAATTATTTGATGTCATTTTTATCGGAGTATTGAGGATTATATTTCCATTAGGCATATCAACAAGGGTTCGATTCTCACCTCACTACATATTAATTCTATATATGTTAATTTGATGTCATTGAAGATTTCCCTTAAGCATAAAATAGGGTGCTTGTCACCTAGCCAACCCTATGGGTGGCTCTTCATCTAAAGAAGTACTTTCGGTGGGGCATCAATATTGCCTGACATAATCCCTACAAATCTTCACCTGCAAGCAAATATAGGCAATTTTGTTATCTTTGTGCTTAAACATTATTATTTGAGAGATTTTTTTTTGTTTGTATATACTTTATATAGGTTTTACTGTTCCTTAGCACCAGCTCACCACATACAATAATACTTTACGTGACACATGATATCTAATTTCAAGCTAGGTTTTATATATAGGGGAAGTATCGAAGTATATTCCTTGTAAGTTTAAGCTTTTGGATCAAATTGATCATGATGTATCAGCGCATTCAGCTTGGTGCATAAGTGCACATTATTCAGCTCAATACCTGTTTGTGTGGCCTTGGAGATAATGCATGTGAGTTCCACAGATGATGCTTGCTTATTATACAGTTGGTGTGAAGCACACCATTTTGGCAAGTGATTTGATGTTGAAGAACCTTCGTCGAGCTGTACACATGCATGGAGAGCGTATTAATTGCCAGATTTGATGAAATCTCACGTTTACACACATGGGGTAATTTTGTATTAGCGGGGATTTTCAGTAGGTTGGGCCTGTATTATAATGCTGCGTTAGTTTTTTTTGTTCATATATAACACACTGCCATTGGGCTTTGGCAGGTACTTATTAATTTCAACTCGAACTGCATGGACGAAAAAAAAAGAACTCGACGTGCATGATTTTTTTTCACTCATTAAATGTATGTAAAAAATCTCGTCGGCCCGCCTGCATCCAGGGAGTGCAGCAGACTTGGGCTCAAAATACTGGCCCAGACGGTGAGTGGGCCTGAAGTCAGATTTCCTTCCTTATGTGTTTTTTTTCACTTATAAATTAAACAAGCAATGCTTAAACCGAACTGGCGCCTGTCGAACAAAGAGTAGTTCATACTAATACTATGCATGTGAAAAGTGAACTGCACTACTTCTACGGATCTACTTATACGAATTAAAATTTGCCAAAATCACCAACGCCAACAGGCGCCATTTTTAAGACGCGGTTGATCCGAGCGAACTCGCGCCATTTCAACAAGCGTTGACGAGTGAGAACAATCGGCTGCCCGCTGCCTCCTCATCCTGCCTGAGAATATACATACCCACACGGCCACACCCAACAAGTAGCAGATCGATCACCATTGCTTGCAAGCATAAGCTCCTAGTCCGCCATGGTTTCCACGCTCATCAAGCACAAGAGGGCTCGTCCTGCTCAACCGACGACGCCTTGCCCCTGGCCCGGCTGCACCACCATGCCATGCACACCACCGTCACCGTCCACGCAGCACAAGAGGGCTCGCCGTCCTGCTCAGCCGACGACGGCTACCCCTACGGCGGCGGTGTCCCAGCCCGACTGGTCGTCTCTCACCGCGGACCTCGTCCGCCGTGTCGGAGAGCGCGTCGTGGCTGCCGACGACATCGACTACTACATGGCCTTCCGCGCCGTCTGCCACAACTGGCGCCTTGCCCTCAAGGACAACAACGCGGCAAACTGCACCGACGATCCCACCTGCTTCCAGCCGAGAAAGTGGGCGGTGCTGGACCGGCACGACGATGACGTCCTCGCGCTTGTCAACCTGGAGACCGGCCGCTTCCTCCGCAAGAGGCTCCCGCTGCTCCGCGACTACTTCTTCGTCGGCGCCGCCAGTGGTGGCCTCCTCCTCCTCGCGGAGCCAACGTACCCCTACCGCGCCCGCCTCCTCAACCCTTTCACGGGCGCGCTGGCCCGCTTCAAGGCACCCGTTCCCGTGGGCGAGGTTAGGGAGGTCGCCGTGGTGGCGACGTCACCGACGACGACGACGACGGTGTTCGTCTCCATGCTAGCCGACGATGGCGCCGTCATGTGGGCAGACCAGGACAGCAAGTACTTCGGAGAGTGTGCTGCACCGGCGCCTTACCCCGACGACGGTCTCCTGTGCATGGTTCCCTTCGCCGGCGACGTGTACCTCACCAACCGGCAAGGAGCCGTGCTCTCTACTGCTGCTGCGGCCGTCGTCGACGACGATATGGTGCCTTCCAAGGACGACGACATTGCGGGCTGCCGCTCGGTTCAGAGCATCTCCATGGCCACTGCCATTCCGGAGGCATTGTTGGGTGACAGTTGCCATTATTACCTTGTGGAGTCTGGGGGAGAGCTGCTGCTTGTGACCAGACCTGCTTGGTGCGGCGTGCCCGGTGATCAGCTTTCCGTCCACAGGGTGGACACCGTGAGGAACGTGCTTGAGCCGGTGAGGTCCATCGGCAACCGCGCCCTCTTCCTCAGCCGTGTCAGGTGTGTCTCCGTCGACGCTGACAAGTTCCCAGCCGTCCAAGGCGGCTGCATCTACTTTGTGGATCAGTTAAGCTGCTACTTCGACGTGCAGTTCTCGTTCATGACCGTTGTTCGCTTCCCTCACGAAGCTGACGGAGTGCAACAGCCTAAGGTGGATGTAAGCCCCATACCAGCAGATTGTTTCCAGCCGTTCACCCTGGCCCATGTTTTTGCAAATTACTGCAAGTTCGTCCAATGTTCTGAACTGCGCCGCCAAATTATGATCGATGGCGAGGAAGATTTCTCAGACGACGACGAGGAGGATTCTGATGACGACGAAGATTATTTCTCAGATGATGACGACGGATCTGATGGAGGTTGGAGGGTCCTCTGAATCTGATCTGATCAGTGAAAAGGGATACATATGCATTATGCAAAATGCACAGTGTCTCTGTTACCTACGAGAGGGAACCTCTCAGAGGCTTTTACATTCTCTAGCAAGCTACTAGCTCTCAGAGGCTAGCGTTCTTTCATAGGAGTATGTTGTTGCATCCATGGGTCTCTGTTCATCTACTTATTTAGCTATATACATGTTGCAATCTTGTAACTTTGAAGTGTCAATGAATTCAAATTATGTTACCACATCGTTGGCTCGTCAATTTCTCAAACTAGTGCTGGTGAATCTTGACCACTTTTGCAAGTGAGGTGGGCACCTAGTTTCTCCACAGGCTGGATAACAGTACAGAAAGCTCTCAAGAGCAATGCCTGGGTCAAGCATGTTTATTTGGCTGCCAAATCTTGTTCAATTCACTGCACGCTCCATTAAAAAATTTGAAGTTCTATTCAATTTAGAAGGCTAGAGCTGAACTGAAATGTGGCGTCCTAACACACACGTACATAAATCCTTGTACAACAATAAATTTGCAAAAAAGATGTCCGCGAGATCAGATTGTGCTCGGCTCACTGCAACACCTCAGCACCTATGCTTTGCATACATGGGCATCTCAAATTCGACTGTCTTGGTCAACCGGATTCTATTTACAACTGGCGGAGGAAAACAAGGAGAAAGCACTATATATGTCAAAACAAAAAACCTAACAAGAGTCCACAGAATAAGAGTTTACAACCTCTATAGGCAGCCTTCTGGATCAAAGAACCAATCCAACAGTATAGAAAGCTTGCTTGAACCAAAATTATTTTCTCTAAATCAAGAAGGAAACAATACACCATGTATGTTTTCTCCAATATTAAATCAGATTTTAGTATTTAAATGCATATTAATTCTGAAAACTATTCAGAACTTTTTATTTGAAAATTTATTTCCATAATTTTTTATCAAGTCTAATTGAACTCCCTGAACCATTGCAGTAACTCAATCCTTGGCGGTTTGCTTGTTGAACTAGGTTTTTGCCTCTAGAGATTACGCCTATGTGACACTATGCCAAAACTGATAATCACCGCCAGGTAGGAGCCTCACATCACTACATGCGGCGATGGGGAAGGAGGAGCTCATCGTCGGTGTGTACGTGGACGACTTGATCGTCACCGGCGCGCGTGTGGAGGACATCGATAGTTTCGAGCGCGAGATGGCGGCTCGTTTTCGAATGAGCGATCTCGCCGTGTTCTTCTACTACCTCGGCATCGAGGTGAGACAGTGGAAGGAGGCGCTCACGCTCGGTCAGAGCGCGTACGCCTCGAAGCTGTTGGAGCGGAGCGGCATGGCTGAGTGCAAGCCGTGCGTGACTCCGATGGAGGAGCGGCTGAAGCTGACGAAGGCTAGTACCGCGGCGAAGGCAAATGCAACACTCTACCGGAGCATCGTCGGCGGTCTGCGCTATCTAGTCCACACTAGGCCGAACATTACGTTCGCCGTGGGCTACGTCAGCCTCTTCATGGAGGATCCCCGAGAGGATCACTGGGCTACAGTGAAGCGGCTGCTGCGCTACGTCAAGGGGACGGTGGATCAGGGGATCGTCTTCCCCAAGACCGACGGAAGTGGGCTGCAGCTCACTGTGTTCAGCGATGTAGACATGGCGGGGGACATCGACGGACGGAGGAGCACCTCTAGCATGCTCGTCTTCCTCGGGTCGGCTCCAATCTCATGACTGTCGCTGAAACAGAAGGTGGTGGCGCTGTCCACGTGCAAGACAGAGTACGTAGCGGCGGCCACAGCGGCGTGCCAAGTTGTGTGGCTGCGCCGGCTGCTGGGCGAGCTGACCAGTGTGGAAGCTCACCCACCAACACTGATGGTGGACAACCAGCCCGCCATCGCCCTCGCGAAGAATCCGGTTCTTCACGACCGGAGCAAGTACATCGACGTCAAGTTTCACTTCCTCAGGGACTGTGTCGATGGAGGGCAGATTGTCATCGAGTACGTCGAAACTGGTCGATAGCTCGCGGACGTCATCACCAAGCCGCTCGGCCATCTTCGGTTCAAGGAGCTGAAGAATATGATCGGCATAGTGAAGGTTTCAGGGTTAGCAGCAGGATTAGGGGAAGAATTGTTAAGTAATCTGCTGCTCTCCTCTGTACGGCGCGGCAGGGGCAGACGTCGAAAGGGCTCCCCTACTGCTGCACTATAGCCGTTGTAGGGGTAGGCGTCAAAGTCAGTCCTGCTGTCACATCTAGTCACTGTAGCAGCATGACAGCCTGACATGTCTGTGCACTAGGATTATATGGGTAGAGTTGTATATATAGCTTTTCACTACAACTCAGTAAAGTGAGCAAATTCAGTTTTGCCATATCCTCTGCAGAGCTCCGGTCAACGCTGGTGCTTGTGCTGTGTGTTCTCTCTCCCTTCTTCTGTCTCTAGCCATAGTGTGTGGTCGGCAATGTCGGTGAACCCGGTTTACCCGTGCCGGAGATTCAGGGCCAACAGTTCGTAGGGTGAACACGGAGACTCGGGTGATTGAGCCGGTCAGTAGCATCGGCAGCCGTATCCTTTTCGTTAGCCATGTCAGGTGCCTCTCGATCAACGCCGGTAAGTTCCTCGTCCATCCAAAGGCGGTTGTGTCTACTTTCTCTGCAACCAACCATATTTGGATCCTACTACTACGGCGCTGTAGACACGACCATTGTTCACGTTCTTTGACAATGTCGCCGCCGAGTTCGGCTGGGGGTTATGATGGTTCCTTAGAAGGTTTCTTCCGTCCATTCACCCTCGCCCCAGGTCATCACCGATTCTCGCAAGTCCATCCACTATTCTAAACTGTATGAAAAATGATGATGCTCAACAAGTGGGGCATCTGGGATAACTCGCAAAAATTTCAACTCGATGAATAGTAGATGAATCATCATCCTAAATATTGTCCAACTCGATGATGAAGAATCCTCCTCGATCCTCGTTTCAACTAAACGATGATGATGAAGCATCTTCCTAATGCTCCATGCAACCAGCTAAAAATTGATGTGATAGAGAGAGCTGAAAAAACTTGGAATTTGATGATCTAAACAAGGCATACTCCACTATGTCCATGAATCATCATCCTCTGAAGGCACCTATGAAGAATCCTCCTCGATCCTCAGAACACGATGATGAATACTTCCTCTGAACCAGCTCATGTTGTTTGAATTCTTACTCCACTTGTCCAACGGAAGGCACCCTACTCTCTTTAATAATCTTTGTTAAATTCTTGAGTTCGGTAGCCTACTCTCTTTAATAATTTTAGTTGCGCCAGCAGTGTTGTTCATTTGTTGCAGCTGCAGTCGTTGTCTGTAATAATCTTCTTTGGGATGTAGGCATGGCCAATTATATCGGTCAGATATGTTGGTCAAATAATTCAATTTTCAATTTTAGCTTTTGAATGTTCTGATGAATTCGAGTGCTTGTGCATTAATATCTTCACCGGATGATGTGTTCATGTTTCAATCAGTAGAGTTCTAGGTGTAGAAATATATATTTGATGAATGCTTAATTCGGGGAAAGCGAGTTTTTTTATTGAATGCTTGTGAGATCTATTTATTTTATTAATTAGCAGGAGGAGACAAGTATAGATGAAAAATTGGCAAGTGATAGAAAACTTATAAAAGAGCAAAAAAAAAACAATTATACTCCCACGCTTTATGTCAGATTATTACGTATTCGGCTCTTCTTTCATCTTGGCACAGACGGCGCTGAAAAACCACATGTCTCCTTAAGTTATATTGGCTAGTGGGGATGACTATCTTCCAACCAACGACGGTTCGATTCTTATCCTTGCTACGTACTAATTCTATATATGTTAATGTTAATTTGATGTTATTTAGGATTTCCCTTAGGAATAAAATAGGGTGCTTGTGACCTAGCCATCCAAGGTTCAATTCTCAACCCACGGGATCCATTTATTTTATTAATTAGCAGGAGATTATAGACAAAAAAATGGCAAGTGATAGAAAACTTATAAAAGAGTAAAGAAAAATACTCCCATGTTTTGCCGCTTCAAAACCACTTGTCCCCTTGAGTTTTATTGGCTAGTGGGGGATGGCTATCTTCCAACGAGGCTTCGATTCTCACCTTGCTACGTATTAATTATATATGATGTCATTTTAATCGAAGTGAGTACTGAGGAATCAATGAGGGTTCGATCCCCACCTTGCTATGTGTTAATTCTATATATGTTAGCGGGCACGTGATGGTTTGTGTCGTGGGCTTGCTTGTGCAATGTGAGTTTTTCTTTGAGTGGTGAGTGAGGAGTGTGTCATCGCGGCTTGTGCCCATGTTTGTTTCGAGCCAGCCCATTAGTATCCAACAGAAGAGGTATTGGGCTAAAAATACTCACCCATAGAATGACCTTGAACTCAAATTCTCTCCCCCCCCCCCAACCCTTTTCTGGTTTTATGAAGCTGCATGCTTATCTATTTCAACTACACAAGCAATGCATTAGCTTGCGACTATATATCTACTCCCATGAACTAGTAATTTCGCTCTCGCGCACATTGAGCTTATTTGCCGTTACGTAGATCATGCCTGTTGTGAATATACGCTGATGCTCTCTCACATACTCTTTATCTTTATGTCCTGAAATATAGTGGCAGTTTAATTATTCTAAGCCAAACCATCCTAAATCTGACTTTGTTTATTGAAACTAATTAAAAATATTTACGTTATAAAATGAGACTTGTTAGAAATATTATAAAATGTATTTTCATAATTTATCTATTTAATAATACCATAATATTATTGTTCTTTTAATAAAACTTGGTAAAACTTTAGATGGTTTATTTGATTAGTATAACTAATTTATTAAATTTCAGGACAAGTGAAAAACATGGTCACATTTTGGATGAAACTTTGGTCAAATTTCATCGCGAGGAAATGATTGTTCATGTTTAGTTGCTCATACAATTATCTAAATTTGAAAAGTTTGTACATGAGATTGTGTTAGATGGAAAGTGTCAGCCACAACCACAAGAGGTGGGTGGCGAGGAGCGCCAAAATATAGAGAAAATAGGAGAAAACGACAAATTATATTATATATTATATTATATATTATATATAGTAATAAATCTATGTAAGTTATACATACATATAGTATTTCAAATTTAAATGTGCCCTTGCTACAAAAGTTTCAAAAAATATACGAGATCGTTTGAAACGAATGAGTAAATGGTCCAAATTGTAACGGAAATGCTTGCCTCCACGAAATGCTTGCTCATCACGATCGTTCTTCCACCTCTGGAAATTTCCCCACTCCCCACTCGCATCGTTGTCACAAAGGACATAGCCTTCCCGGCCCAGCCTTCAAGATATATAGTCCAACAACACCGCTCGTCGCCTCTTCCACCTCTAATCGGAAAATTCACCACTCCCCACTCCGCATCGACCGTGGCAGTCGGGTGCTAGGCACACATCGCAGAAGTGTGTTTGTGGTCCATGTTGCAAAAAGTATATCTAAGATGTTGCATATGTTGCCCGCCCCATGTCATGCGCGTCCCAAGTGTTTGCCACCTTTCCACCTTCCCCATATTACAAAAGTAGATCTGCGTTACATACGTCCCATGTTGCAATCATATGTTTCGTGTGTGTTTGCCTTTCCCCCGATGTTTCAAACTTGGTGTTCATATGTTGTTGGCCATGCATGTTTCCATCTCTAGCGAGCGGATGGGGATGTTTGAAAGCTCTAGTTTGGTTTTGGTGAATTGATGAACTAACCTAGTTTATGAAGTGATCATGAGATATGCGCACACTCCAAGTGGTGAAACAAATGAAGCATAGCATGATAAAGATGATGGCATGGTGATGATCAAGTGCTTCGAAAGAAGAAAGAGAAAACAAAAAGCTCAAGGCAAAGGTATAATTTGTAAGAGCTATTTTGTTTAGCAAGCGTGGAATAATCGCTAGAGGAGGAGCGAATGCGGTTTATCGACGATGCCCTAACTCATTTCATATGCATTTAGGATCAAGTGCTAACACCCTTGGTGTAAATATACTACATGTGCAGGGGTTTGTAGGGTTGAGATGGGTCGGAAAATGAAATGTCTATTTTCTATTAAGGCTTCGACCCAAGCTCGACAAGGGTGAAGTAAGAGTAGCGATTCTCCACCGGTCCGTAGGCCGTGGCCCTTCACCGATGACGTCGTGTTTCAAGTGTTTGGTCCGGATGTTGCAAAAGTATATTTAAGATGTTGCATATGTTGCAATGATAATACGCGCGCATGTTGCATGCGTATGTTTTCAAGTGTTTCGATCATTTTCGGACTTTTTTTCATTTCAACTTTGTTTCATCAAGGATATTGCAAAAACCTTGTAGATCCAAAGCCCTCCCATTCATCTAATGTTGCATCACGTTGCAATGACAAAATACACATGTTGCAATCTATATGTTTCGTGTGTTTCAGACGATAGACGGCTTGGAGCAAAGCAAGGATTGCAAATGTTTTCTCTCGATGTTTCAAAAAAGTAGATCTTGGTGTTGCATATGTTGTAAATGGCTATACATGCATGTTTCAATCGCATGTTTCAAGTGTTTCATCTTGTCTTCATCATTATTGTGTATGTGCAGATAACTCTTTTTCATGTGGATGTTTCAAAATCAAGCTCTTTAGTGGCTAGTGTTGAATTGTTTGTTTGATTAATGTCTTTTTAGTTAGTGAGCACACGCTAAGTGTCATAGCTATTGTGTGGATATACACTATTCAAATAGAATTGTGGAGGAGCTTTCACGACCGCCTAACATATTTTGTTAAGTGTTGTTGTAGATTTTATTAGGCTCTCCTCCTACCTCGCGCTTCCTCCTCGCGCCTTCCTCGCACGGCCCTCGTCCTCTCCTCTCCTCCCATCCCCTCCCTTCCCTTCCCTCCATCTCCGGTCGCAATTCGAGCTCGGCCCACGAGCGTGGAGTCGCGAACGTCGGGTAGGCGTAGCAACAGGCGCAGGTGCAGGCTCAGCCGACGAGCGCGCGGAGTCACGGACAGTAGGCGTAGCCGCAGGTGGGGCGGGCTGGCAGACTCAGCAGGCATGAGCATGCGCACGAGGCGGGCCAAACACAACACAGGCGTCTGCACGTTGCTAGCGTCTGGGAGCTAGCCATTCCGAAATTGTAATCCGATATTTATTTTAATCCATACTAGGCCAACAAGCCAACAACCTCAGCCCCCAGCTCAAAAAAAAAAAAGGTCAAAATTTTAATCCTAGAGCAGCCCAGCTAAAAAAAAACAAACCCCAAACCCCTTCCGGCGGCCTCTCACCACCGCGGCCATGAAGCGGAAGCAGAGAGCCTCGGTGGCCGCCGCCAACGCGGACCACGACTCCGACGCCGACGAGCCCTCTCAAACCCCGCTCCCCCTCGAGTCCTTCTCCGGCGACGCCTGCGCCGCCCTCACAGCTCGCTACGGCCGCTCAGCCGCCCCGCAGCACCGCCACCTCCTCGCCTCAGCCGCCGCCATCCGCTCCATCCTCCTCGACGACGGCCTGCCCCTTACCCCAGCGTCCTACCTCCCCGCGGCCGTCTCCGCCCTTCGTGCCGCCGGGTCTGCAGACCCCGCCGCCACCGCCGCCCTTGCCTCTCTGCTTGTCATCCTGCTGCCCCACATCCCATCCTCCCCTTCGTCCCTCCCGCCAGACGCCGCCTCCGAATCTGCCTCCGCACTCGCCGCCTTCCTGTCGTCCCCTGACGCCTCCCGGCTCCCGACAGGCACCGTGCGCTCGGTGGTCAAGTCCCTCGGCCATTTGACCCTCCATCTCGATGCTGCAGCCGATTGGGATGCTGTGGCGGCGCCTCTGGAAGCTCTCCTCGCGGCTTCTGTGGACCAGCGGGCCAAGGTGAGTGAGACAGCTAGTAGCCTAGTAGTACTAGGAATTACTGAATTAGCAATAGACATTTAGCAACCTCGCTCATGTGGATGTCAATCGCTGCTTTCTAGGTTCGCAAATGTGCGCAGGAGAGTGTTGAAAAGCTGTTTGCTTACTTGGGGCAGTGTGATTGCACGAAGAAAGCTAGCAATGCTGCAACTGGCATGTTTGAGAAGCACATTTCTTCAGCCCAAAGTCTTATCCATTTGAATTCAGATATTTGGGAGGGTAAAGAGACAGAAGTGGCTCATATGCTAGGTACAATGGTGAATTTAGTTCCATATCTATCAAAGAAGGCAAGGAAGAAGGTGTTCTTGGATGCTTATCAGTTATTGGGCCCTTGTTTTACCCCACTTACGAGGCACGTTCTAAGGCTTTTGGCAACCTTGTTGGATCATCTGAAGGCTGAAGGTGTTGAATCCGAGGTGGAGAGTCTTGTATCCTTGGTGGTTGCTTACCTGCCTTATGATGAGAAGAAGCCTGATGATACCATTGTCTTAGCATTTCACCTAATTAAAAGTTGCTTGGTTAAACTTGTTGGCCGCTCAAAATTGTGGATGGAAGCTCTTCCAACTGCATTCGAGGCAGTTTCAGGTGTGTGTGTTTACATGTCTTATGCACCAGCCTTGTCTAATTATATATACTGACGCTTTTATTATGAGTTTATGGTATACACATATCCATCCAGAAAAAAGTTTTTCCTATTGACATAATTGGCTGACCATATTTGGAAATACACCATGGCACCATGCTTCCTCCAATGTATTCAATGCTTCAATAGGAAGGAATTATTCCTTTAGTATCTCCTAACTGTTCAAATTTTTAGAGTATATCTTGTATGCTGTCACCATTTCTTGTACTTGTCTACTTAGGTTTCTTCGAATATTGCATCATTCAGAATCTGTAGTTTGTTGATCGTGCTTATGCACCCTTCTAGTGGCAACTGTTTCTTTTCTCTTTTTGATTATTCTTTATATATTCAATATAAATAATTAACAATGTAACCTATGTTTAACTCTCAATTTGCAGGATACTTAATTCTGGGCAGCAAATGTTCGGATGATATAGCAAAAGTGGTGCAACACTGTATTGATTCTCATATTGACCAAAATGTTTTGGTCACTAATGGACCACAGCTAACCAACAGTGGTGTTGAGGGTTTGAGTGATCAAAGTGCCCTGAAATCAATCTGTTTAACAATCAACAGCAGACTTCACACATGTGCTTATCCTCCGGATAGTATCTTAACAGTAGTATTGGGTTTATTTCTGAAACTTGGTATGTCTTCAGTTTTTTCAGCAGTGGCATCTCTTATCTTCAATTGGACTATTGCAGAGATGTTCTGAACTCCTAGAAATAATTAACCTCACCATCTTGATTTTTGAATGTGATTTTACCTCCACATAAAACTGCATGTGCCTTTTCTACATATCATATGCAAAATGTGCTTGTTGATTACAAACAAGCACTCGAAACACTACAAAAGGTTAGATGATGCACCATAAAATGATAAAAATGTGTTAGCTGCAAAGTTAGGAGAACCTGTGTAATCATTTTAGACAGACAGATGAACACACCTTTCAAATCTGTTGTGAATCCTTTTTGCATATGTGCCAATGCCCTGCTCTTTGTATGATCTTATCATTCTGTCAAATGATCCATTAACTATTCTGTTTGAATTATTTTTTCCAGGAGAAAGCTCTTTTGTCTTTATGAAAGATATCCTACTTACTTTGGCAAAGTTCGTTATGAAAGTGGACAAAGAATCACAATTGAGGAATGTAAGTTCATTTATTGGTATAATGGTATTTGCCTTATCTTGATTACTGTGATGCCCCTCAATATAAAGCATTTCTCAACTTCTTTAGTGACAGAATTATATATAAGTGCTTAAACTCTAGTTTTTGTTGCACTTATATCACCTGCAGGTTGAAGAATGCATTGGAGCAGCAGTGATTGCTATGGGACCAGATAAAGTACTTTCATTACTTCCAATAGCTTTTCATGAAAACCGGTTGACATGCTCAAATACTTGGCTTCTACCTATTCTGGACAAGTATACATACGGAGCTCCGCTGCAATTTTTCCTAGAGCATATTGTGCCACTAGCAAAATCTGTACAAAATGCATCTAACAGGGGTAAGTAACTAGACACAAACAACTCATCCAAAAGCACACAAAACCCAATTTCATATCTTTTTTTTTTTTATTTCAGTCAAGAAAGAATGGAAACGTAAAGACTTGCAATCTTGGACTGATCAACTGTGGAACTTGCTTCCTTCCTTCTGCCGCTATCCTATTGATGTACATTAGCTTTTGGTTCCCTGTCCAAGTTGCTGGTGGAGATTTCAAAGTCTGATGACTGTCTATACAAATCTGCTGTTAAAGCCCTGCAGGTTTGGATGCTCAGCTATCATACAATGCTGTTTTGTTGTTTGTTATATAGATCCCTTTGATATTTCTGCCTTCAGAGAATTTATAAAGATGGTTCAGGCCATATCTTATATATTTTTTTATTGTTTCTCAGCAACTTGTAGATGGGACCAGAAGATTAAGTACTGGTGGTCAAGATGTTGAAATCTATATGGAACTTTCAGCCTTGTTCTCCTCAAAACCTGATAGCTTCAAATGCACACGCTTAGATAGGTGCTCCAAAAGATGCCCGCAAGAACTTGAAAGTTCTAGCATCACATTCTACCAGTCTTCTCTGCACTTTCACGGACTATTTCCTTGACTCCTCACCTGAAAAGCGTGCTCATTTGAAGGTGCATCTCCTACTCATTTCTTTCAATTTTTTAATTGGTTACCTACTTACCTGTGATTATTTGAATTTTTAAGTATTAAATCTGTAGTGTACATGCTGTGAAACATCTTATCTTATAATACCTAATTTAGTTATGTCTTAAAAAATCATCTTGTTGCACCCTATTTTAGCCTCATTATTTTTTATACAAGAGTTTGATTTGTTACAGCGCACCTATTTTTGTCACTTGTCAGATTTATACTTCCGAACTGTGAACTAAATTTGTTTGGTTGACATAGGTAAACTACCGAGGTATAATAGAACTTCTTTTTTTATTCATGTGCAAGTTTTACTAAGGAGAGATTTTGATGCCAACCATGATCAAGATCAAACTTTCACATTTTCCATTCTGAAATGACCCTGCTATAATAAAAAAACAACAGCTCTATCTGTTATGGGTTAGACTCCGAAGAAGGGCGTTAGGCATCAGTCAGAGAGCTCCCGCCTGTCAAGGGGGTCTAGGGAAGGATGTCGATGGGCAAGCCTTACCTCGCTTTGTGCAATGCGAGGAGACATGACTCAAACCTGGGACCTTCCGTCACAAAGTGGTAAGACTCTACCGCTTGCACCAGGTTTGAGTCATGGTCTCCGTAAGAAGGAATAAAAAAAATTGTTTTCTGAACAGTTAACACCTAAATGGATGAATGCTAAGTACCAACAGAATAAAGTTGGGTTTTCCAAAATTTGCAGTAGTTTCCACCTACAAACTAGCATTTTTGGTGTATATATGCATAGTGGAACATTTGGAAGTCCAGTTTCCCTCTTTTGTTCAGGATCAGTTCTAACTTGTAATAATTTTCATTTGACAACCATTTATTGGCTAATGTTGTGTGAGCTTAAATAAATTCTCTGTTAATATATTGTGCTTATAGGCAATATTTTTTACTACACATTTTGTACTTGATCCGGCCCATTTATCTCTTTCCAGGTAGCTTTGAGATGCCTGGCTCAACTTTCTGGTAGCATGAACATATGTGACCTTTTTGTTTCACTAGTCAAAAGGTTTGATTTAGAAGATACTCCATTGGAGCCAGAATGCAAAACCGATGTAGAAGATAGGATGGATGAACTTGTCAAAAAGAAAGATAGGAAGGATGAAGAAAGTACTGAATTCAAAACTGATGAAGTAGATAGGAAGGATGGAGAAAGTACTGAATGCAAAACTGATGAGATAGATAGGAAGGATGAAGAAAGTACTGATGCAACAGTGGAGCTAAATAATAAGAGGTTTGTTGCTTCTTTTCACTCACCTACAAGATTAATTTTTCATGCTCAGTCGGTTTCTGTTCAAAAAAGAGCTCACAAACTGCTTGATGATGTAGTTTTGCTTGTGCATGTCTCTTCTGATGATGCTCAATCTCATCTTGTTACTTTGTGCTAGCTTAGGATTTATACATGAGACTTTTCCCTGTGTGCCATTATAAAAGATCGCAATCCCTTGTGTGCCTCTGGAAAAATTCAGCGGTCTTCAACGCCACTACTTTAACTTTTTCGGGTCCTCTATGCCACTTCCGTCAGTTCAGGCTCTAACGCCGTTAAAGTGCAGGTGTGAAAAGACGAAAATGCCCTTAAGTTCAAATATGTTATTAATTTTTTTTGAGCATCTTAACGACTTCAAATGAAAAAACTCAAAACTAGAAAGTTGTAGATATCGTCGAGATCTATAATTTTCATATAAAAATTATTTTCATTTAATTCCGCAAAAAAAATATGATTTGATATGATTAATATATCTTAGAAAAATCATCATATTTTTTTTGCGGAATTAAATGAAAATAATTTTTATATGAAAATTATAGATCTCGACGATATCTACAACTTTCTAGTTTTGAGTTTTTTCATTTGAAGTCGTTAAGATGCTCAAAAAAAATTAATAACATATTTGAACTTAAGGGCATTTTCGTCTTTTCACACCTGTAGTTTGACGGCGTTAGAGCCTGAACTGACGGAAGTGGCATGGAGGACCCGAAAAAGTTGAAGTAGTGGCGCTGAAGACCGCTGAATTTTTCCAGGGGCACAGAGAGAATTAGGATCTTTTATAATGGCACACAGGGAAAAGTCTCTTTATACATTATATGATTATAGTTTTGCTTGTGCAGGTCTCTTCTATTAGAACTCTTTTCCACATTTGTTGAAGTTGCTGATGAGGATCTGCTTGATAAACTTTTTGGATTTATCAAGTCTTGTTTGCTGGTACTCTCTATTTCTTTCTGCTCCTGCTACCCCCAAGACCCCAACTCTTAGTAAACATTCTTTTTTTTCATAAACTTTATCTATTCCTTCTGCAGGACAGCAGCATGTCTTGTCACAGCAAAGCTCTCTTTGCATTAAGCATAATTGTGAAGGTTAGTGGTAGTTTCCTGTCAGTCATGACACCTTGATGTTTTTCTTCCTCTTCTTGCTTGAGATGACCTTAATGTCTCATCTTTTTCTTACTTTCAGGAACATAGTGAATATTCTTTGGCTCATTTGGATGAAATGATGCTATTGCTTCATGGAATGAAGTCAGCTTTGGATAGCACAGTTTTAGAAAGCCAACTATTATGCTACCAGCATTTATTGGTTCACATGATTAAGGTAGGTTGACAGTTGGTATTTTTTCCCCAATTGATCATAATGTGATTAGTATCTAGAGCTTTGCTTTGAGAGGGCCTGTGTTTCACTGGTGCTTTGTTTGAAACCATTATGGGGTTTCTCTGGACCATCATGCAAAGCCAGAGTCTATTTTTCCTTGCTTATTCGTATATATATGCCTGCAGACTATGCTTATATTGTTACATCTCAGTGATGTCTACACAGAAATATAAAAATAAATAAAAGCAGGGTCTTTTACAGTACTCAAGTTGCTTTTGTTTCAAATTTATCTAGTAAACTTGTACTTGACAAGTAAACAACTAAACATTTCAATTACAGAAACTAGACAAAAAACACAAGTTTGTTTTTGTTGGAGTATGAGTGTATTAGGCCCATGAGGCCCATGTATGACCAATATACATTGCTACCCTTCTAGGGTTAGCCCATGATGAAAACTGAACTCTAGCAGTTTTCTGAGCTGCACTCTTTTGTACAAAATCTGTTGGTTGTCAGAACCTCAACCAGATGCTAACACCACAAAATTTCATTCTTATGATATGCAACAATGTAAATTTCAATAAGATTTTAAGGTGTTCAATCGAACTTAACATGCACATGAACAAATGACTTGTACTTTTGCAAAGTGTGTGTGCATGTGTGTTGTGCCTATAATAGATATGCAACTCAATAACAACTTCATTCTTCATCTTTATGTGTTTATCTGATCAGATTTACTTCACTAAGACATCACGATGTCGTTTTGAAATTGGGTGTGCCTGCTACTGAGTCACGAGCGATGAACAATGTTTATTGAAAGAGTTAAGTGCACCAGCGGTCCTTAAACTTGTGTGAGTATGTCATCCCGGTCACTAAACTTACAAAACGGTCATATAGGTCCCTAAACTTGATTTGGGTCTCGTTTACCCATCCAAACGGTCTTTGACCTGGTACCCACGTCCTCCTCTCAGACTTGTCACCACGCCGGCGCATGCCCACCCAAGCCGCCGATGCCAACGTCATCGTGATCAGCCTCGCCGTGTTCTTCCGACTCGACGTAGCGGCATACACCTCCTCCGCAAACCCATCCAGCTCGCCTAATTCCGACGACGTTGAAGCCCTGCAGTACACGTTCCTGGGCCCAACGCTGCTGCCACCACCGACCACCGGGTAGGAGGAGCCGCCAGAGCCCAGAGGTGTTCGTGGGTGCACCGTGCACGTGAAGACGGTGGTGCGCGTCCAGCCCCAGCAGCGAGGCATGTTGGAGAAGACCAGCGGCTGCGCAGCAGCGGCCGCAGACGACGGGACGGCGTTGCTGGGAAGCTGGGGATGGACGACGAGAGGCGCCCTGGTGGTTGGTTGAGCCGTTCATCGGGAAGCAGCAGGCCCAGTTCACCGCGTGGATTCGTCCCTGCTGGAAGAGGTCGCCTGTGCCGCTGCCGGCGCATCTCCATCCTCTCTCTCTCTGACGCCTCGCCGCCGCCGCCCGGTCCTGCAGACCTCGGCCTCGTGTTCCTGCCGCTCGTGGATGCCGCGCTCCAGTTTGTCCTCCTAAACTGAATTGCAACTCTGAAACTGATGCTTGGTATGCAGAATTTTTGTCAAACTTTGAGGCTTTAGATCTTCCAAACCAGTAAAAATTAGACCTTAGTTCTTAAAACAATGTTGTAGATCATAGCCCATTGAATAAGTTTTATTAAGGCCGATCAGGTTGATTACATACAAAATTGGGAGTAAATCGCTGAATAACAGAGAAGGTCGTAATGCCTTTCTAAAAAAGAGAAGGCCGTAACTGAACTTGAGTTCAGTTAGCCGCTTTCAGCAGTTCGGCTGACAAGCAGCTGCTTGCTCGCCGACAGCACCATCGCGGCTTCTCTCCTTCACACGCCATCCTCAAGATGGTCGGGCAGCACCGCCATCTTCATCCTCGATTAGGCCACGCTCAGGCTCGGCTTCTCCCTCTGTCGTCAAGCGCATGGCCGGGTATCGAGCCGAGGAGCACGCGCCGCGCCGCCACCCTCGCGTGCTGCTTGCCACAACCCCTCCCCCCATGCAGAGCGCTGCTCTCGCCAAGGCTGCCGCAGCCCACATGCCAACGTCATGCGCCGCTGCTCTGTTTGGGAAGAGAGATGACGGAGGGAGCTCTGGAAACGTGGGCAGAGAGAGGAATAGACCAGTTTGGATGGGATTGAGACCTGACAAGAAATTAGGGACCCAAACGAGCGCTTTGAGAGTTTAGGGACCGGGACGACACACTCACACAAGTTTAAGGACCGCCAGTAAACTTTACTCTTATTGAAATATGACTGCATTTCTTATCTTGCGCTTGTGTTCATGAATTGCCTTAGCTAGTTTTGTTTTATATAGTTTGGGTTTGTCTTGTATTTCTCTGACATACATTTTTACTATTTCAAGGTTAATGAAGAGAACACCAGCAAGAAGGCATTCTTGATTCTAAATGAGCTAATAGTTGCACTAAAGGTTTTCCTTTCTTACCTTCACATGCTAAACAATTATTAAATGTGTATTAGATAATATCCTGCCAAAAGTACATCATTCCTGTATGGAAATCTGAACAGTAATGGTGTATGGAAAAGGTTGTAACATGAGAAACTCTCTTTCTCTGATGCCAATGTGCTCTATTTATTCAAAATTCCTTTCTTTTTTTCTGGTGCAGTCTAAGAAGGAAAGTAGAAAACTAGCATATGATGTGCTCCTGGCAACTAGTACAAACTTGAGGAGCTCAGAGTCAAATAGTGCAGAGTCAGATCTTCAACGACTGTTCACAATGGTTAGCTACATAAAATACTCTATTCTTAACATATTTCCCTTTGTTTTATTTGGTTTTGAAATTTATTAATAGTGTCTTGTCGGACAGTTACCTTTTGTTTCCTGCTGCTAGTTATTTCTGCCGAACATTTTTCTTGGCATTCCTCTGCAGTTATATTGAGTGACACGTCCAGCTGTATCTTTAGGCTTCATTTGGATACATCCCCTCAAATCCAAACATATTACTCCTCCATTCCACAACGTAGGTTGTTTTAGTTTTTTTCTAAGTCAAACTTCTACAATTTTGACTAAGTTTATAGAAAAGTGCACCAATATCTACTACATAAAATGATTTCATCAAATCCACTGAAATATTTCTTGATAGTGCACTTATTTGGTATTGTTTTGGTATTGTAGATGTTAATATATTTTGTGTATAACTTGGGTAAAAGTTTTAGAATACTCCATTTTTAGTCTACTTTGAAGATATACAATCACCATCACTAAGATTTAAACCACTGATTCTAAAAAAAAAAGATTTAAACCACTAATAATATCACAAAACACTCTGATTGTTCTATTAGTAGCACAGGGAGGCATCTTCTAAAGGATAGCAGGTTATACTTTGCTACACAATTCTCATGGAAAAAATATAGAACTATGGAGGCTTTTGAATAAGTAGTATCCATGGTGCTTACACCTCGTAAATTATGTGATGAGCAACGAAACCGCATGAAGATCGCAATGGAGCTGTAACAGTAGCTAATCAAATGCATAGCCTTTTCTTTTTCCAATTCACAACTATTTGCAAACTTGTAACATCTATAAATCACATGGATTATTTTGTGTGAACGGCATAAATAATCAGTGTAATTCTATATGTTAAGTGCGTAAGTTGCATTTACAAGTTTTATTACTGAAGCTTATTGACTATCTTCTTTTTATTCAGGTAATGGGATATCTTTCAAGTCCATCTCCTCACATAGTGAGTGGAGCAATTGCTGCACTATCATTGCTTATATACAGTGACGCTAATTTTTGCATGGAAGTACCGAATCTGATAGAGTCAGTGTTAGTTTTGCTGCAACATAAAGCCATTGAAGTAACTAAAGTCAGTTCTGTGATTCCCTATGTCCATCTTTTCAGTTCTTTTCCTAATTCCTATTGTTAAGGGTCTGGTATGCTCGATTTTAGGCAGCCTTGGGCTTTGTCAAGGTATTGGTAACTTCTTTGCAACCACAAAAACTATTGAACTTGCAAGCAGATATCGTAAGTGGGATATTACCATGGTCATTGGTTACTGGCACCATTTCAAAGGGAAGGTTGGTAGAAATATTCCAAGGTTTAATTCCCATATTTTATTGTTTTCTGTACAGGGTACGAATGACATGTTGTAATCTTATATTTGCAGGTTGTACTAATATTAGAAATATTGATTAGGAAATGTGGGTTTGATGCTATCAACTTAATTACACCTGACAAGTTCAAGGGCTTTGTTAGAAGTGTTGAAGAGGTAAGATTCACATTATACTAACTTGCCACTTAGCCATGGAAACAATATATTATTTGTTTGATCAATGGGGCATGTTTTAGTGAGTTCTTTTTATGAACTTTATATTGGTAATGACTAAGAGCAAAATTGATTGCTTGTGTACCTGTGACATATATTTTGGTAGCCCTGTATATGTATTTGTAAACAGCATGCCTGGTTAAAGCATATGATATGAAGCAGATCATTAAATACTATTTTGTATACTCAGGTGGTAGAAACATCCTGTACTGATTTTTTTAGTATGTACTATATTCATCCAGTTAACACGAATACAGATACATCGTTTGTACCTTATGTTCTACTCCATATGTATCATCTCAAAATAGCGTGTACTTGCAATTTTCAGGGTCGCAAAGGAAATCGTAATCAAACTGATGGTGCACATCTCGAGGCAAAAGAACACGAGCAACGTGATGGCAAAAGGTTAGCCCGGAGTCATTTTTTTTTCCGGTGCTTAACAAGTTGCTTAATGGTTTATTGTTGTACAGGAGGAAACGGGTTGACTCTAATGCTGAAACTGGACAAGAAGGAACACCTAGTCGTCCACCAAATAGTTGGTCAGCTGGGAAGAAGCAGGGCAAGGATTTTCATTTGAAGAAAAGGACAGGAGAGGCAACCCTCATGCTGCAAAAAGGCATCAAAGCAGAGATTCAGGTGGCAAAGGTGATAGGACTAATTTCAAGTCAAGTCAAAATGGCAACCAGGAAATAGCCAAGGAAACAGAGGCGATAAATCGCCTGGCAGCAACCAAAAAAGAACTAGGGGCGGTGCCTCCAGCAAGATGCAAAATAGTGAGGCTCGAGCACCTGGGCACTCTCCTAGTTTCAAGAAGCGTAAGAGATCGACAGCATGAGATGTTTCACTTGCCACCACCCTGTCATCGACTGGGATTCATGGCTCATGGGGATGGCTCTGAATTTTGCATTGTCGACCCCAGCTTTTACCTACTAATGCTTTCATCTTGAAGATCTTTGCAAAACTTGTGAAATTACGGTCATACTCGACTCTGTTGTGAATCCACCGTTTTGTAGAGCAAAATTTTGACTTGTAGGTGGATTGAATACAATTGCAATCAATGGATTTTGATTATAAAGAAATCAATAGGTTATCTATCACTTTGGTTGACCACGTCCTTACCTGCTTGTATCTACCCTTGCGAGTTGTGACTGTTTCAGCCGTTTTGTTGCTGACATGTATGGTGTTGGCAAAATTGTTGTCTACTATTTGAGGACGATATCGAAGTTAGGTACAACAAATATGTTATGTTTGGTTCTTTTTGCTAGGAGTGCTTGCCCTAAAATCTACAGCTGCCTAGTGTCAGCAAAAAGCAACGAAAGCTGAATATATAATATACTTGCTCACATTTAGAGGCATATTGAACATATTCTTCAGGTCCATTACGATCTTTGTAGCAGCAGCAGCAAAATGCATACGATGCCTAGTTCAGGCAACCAAAATGTAAGATCAAACCCAAGGCAGCAAGAACTACCTTCGGCAATCTGTTAACCCCATGGCTCGTTGGCTACTGTAACAACATGGAAATGGAAACAGGAAATCTCACGAATTAAAAAAAAAATCAAAACACATTTAGCTCCTTTGGAACGCAGGAATTTCACATGACTTGCACAGGATTTTCACAAGAAAAACGCATGAAATAGGAAAATTTTCTATGTTCCATAGGGGCCCTCACAAGTCTAAACATCAATATGGGATCCAATGTCCAATCTGCTCGAGATCTTCCTTGGCGCAGCCCAATCTCCCTCTCGGCTTCCCTTTACCGCAGCCCAAATCAGTCCAGCCCAACGACATCTTCCGTGTCACATACCCGACTACATCTACATGCCCTCCATCATTCTTGACTCTTGAACCCGAAAGCGCCCACATTACCCACGCCATCCCAAAGAAACATCGTAATAATATATTATACAAGGTAAATATATACAAACGCTAATACTCCTCAATGGCGGTGGGGGCCGGTCCGCGCCTCAGACGCCTCCTAGTTGGACCTACCGACCGACCCAAAGGCTCGTCCGCACCGTTCTTTAATTAGCGATGTGGTTCTTCTCATCCACGTGATGGACACGCGGAGGCGGCCGCTTAGCCACGGGATTTAACGCATTTCGACCCAATTGCTCCTGACGCACGCGCCGCTTAGCATCGGCGCCACAAGAAGTTTCTAACTCGGCGAAGCGTCAAGCTCGTGGCACGTGTGCCGTGGTAGCCACCGGCGCAGCATCTTGCGCGCTTTCCACCATCTTGGTGGCGAAGCGTAGTTCGTGGCGGATCGCCGCGCCAGAGGAGCCTTGCTTGACGAAATGCATGGCGGAGAGGGCGTCGGCGGCGGAGCAACGGTCGGCGCAGCTGGTGGATGAACGACGGGCGACGTCATGGAGCAGTGAAGCTCGACAAAATCAGCTCAGAGCTGCGCCCAAGGCGTAATCGCCGGGCCAAGCCCGGCCGAGGCCGCGCCCATCCCCACATCGAGCTTCCCCACCGTAGGCCATGGCCACCAAATGACGTCGTGTTTCAAGTGTTTTAGATGTTTCGAGACTTATGTTTGAAGCGCGAAATCTGAATGTCAGTAAAAGTCGATCCGGGATGTTGCATATGTTGCAATGACAATATACACACGCTGCAAGCATATGTTTTCAAGTGTTTCATGTTGTTTCAAAGTATGTTTCAAGTGTTTCATCATGATGTTGCGTAAGTATATCCGGATGTTGCATAACATGCATGTTTCAAACACATGTTTCCAAGTGTTTCGTGTGTTTCATACGATGTTGCAAAAACTAGATCTGGATGTTGCATATGTTGCTATGACTATACACGCATGTTTCAAACGTATGTTTCAAGTGTTTCATCTGTTTTCAGTCGCATGTTGCAAGTGTTTTCTACTGGATGTTTCAAAAGCAGATCTGGGGGAGCACATGTAGCAATGGCCCCGTTGGCTGGCGGACAGCGTTGCTGGGGCGCTGTCCGTGGGTCACAGTGCGGGCGCCTGGGGCCGGCAGACGCCTCCCATTGCGCATTCGCAGGCGGGGTGAGGAGGGCGCGTGGGGCGCGCTCCTGGTCCGATGGGGTAATGGTCCTCCTGTTATGCGGGCGCGGCAGGCACGGGCGAGCACGCAAAAAGCGTGCTGGTCAACGATAATATTCTCGTGAGCGGCGAGCGCGGCGCGAGCGTCCGGACGCACGCTTTTGTCCGGACGTATGGGTGCTAGACCCTCCCATATACAAATTGTCACCACACATGGTACTCAATAATTAGTATGATCTTCAGCTTTAGGTGCAACATTATGAAGAGGTCTCTTGTCTGAAGCTGGAACTTTTCCATTATTAAAAAATAGGTGCAACATTATGAGGATTTCTCTCATGTTCTTCACCTCGGACATTTGGGGACATAAAGATATAAAGATCTTCGAGGTCATCGTCACCCAAATTTAGGGAAATATTATTGACTTTGATGCTAGCATAAGCAAACTCGTATGCTGAACTGATCTGGTACCTCACAGCCTTGCAGTTTCTTAACTCCGATGACAGAAAGAGCTAGGCATGCACTTGCTGAACCTCGTTACACTCTTGCTGTATAATCTTTCAGCCATGTTTCCTTCTCATCCTTGTCCTCGACCATTAGGTCTTCGGACCATCTCTTGATTTGGAGTGTGGGACGTCCAGGATGGATGTTGGCTGTGTTCTTGATGGCAGCCTCTGCAGCCTCTACCCTACTTCTAGTAGCACCATAACAATAAATGTCAATACTGAGTTGCTCCAGGCTTGCAAGGTGCTCAAAGGAGAACTCAAAACCCATATCAGACTCTGATTCTTCCGCGTTAAACTCAAGGTTAAAACTTTTGAGCATTGGCATTGCTTCCCTTTCACAAACCATCCTCAGCCCGCCAATCCCTTTGGTCCGGAAAACAAACTCCTTCAGGCAACAGAATAGTTGCCTGCCGATGGTGAGCCTGTCACCGGGGGCTTCACTTGAAATCAGACTGACGTAAAGCAGTGAGGGCATGCCTCCGAGTATGCAGAGCTCTTCCTGTTTAATTTTAGTGACACCAATGCTAAGGTGGGCAAGACTAACAAGAGATGACACCCTTTGTGGAAGTCTACTAAGAGAAGGACAGCATATGAGCTTCTGAAGACATCGAGCATCACTGCATATCGAATCCATCAGTTTATCTGCCGCTGGGTAATCTCCAAAGTCAATTTCCGGCGACTTCAGCTCGTGTTTGGCTCTACAAATGAATTTTAGAGGCGGCTGGAAATATAACTGTCTCTACAAATGTATTTTTAGAGGCGGCTCAGTTTAGACGCTACCGTAGAAGCGACTGGAAATAGAAGCGACTCTACAAATGTATTTTTAGAGATGGCTCGATTAGGACGCCACTGTAGAGGCTGCTGAAAATAGACCTGTTGTTGAAAATCAATTCTACAGTAGTGTTAGAGAAATGTTTTTTTTTCAAAACATCCTCTCTTTTTCCTATTTCAAAATCATAGGTTAGAAGTTCAATTAAAATATTACTTCACACACAAACATAATCGAAGTTAAGTTTTTTAAAATTATAATCAATTTTTTCCATAAATAATATGAGGTTGAATTTAAGCTACCTTTGGAATTCAATCTGAACTAATTATAGTTTACCTAAACCATTAACCTAATCTCTCTCTTCTCTTCTGGATTGTTTAACTTGTGGCCGGATTTGATGTATGTCATGGCTCGAACTTAATGTATATGCATCGTTGAGCTTGTGGGCTTGATGTAATCACATTAATAATACTATTAATATTACGCTACATATATAGAATTGATATTCTAAAAATGTATTATCATCGTCAAAATGCACGCCGTACCAGTGGTGATGAAGCCTCATCATTGTTCAATGGTACGCTGGGCCGATGGTGAAGTGTTATCAATATTCACTTTCACAAACGAGGGCAACAGGTCCGGCTTTCTTATCTTATGGGCCGTATTTGTGCTACAAAGCCCATTATCATCATCTCCTTAGAAAGTTAGAAGCCCGATTTGTTGAGGAATGGTTTGGGCTGAATTTGAGTCTGAAGTTTAGAGGCTTGGTTTGAGAGTTGTTGAGCGAGCAGTAATAACGTTGGAGCCGTGGAGGAAGTTGGAATGACCAGCTAGCTCCCACACGGTCCACCTCCACTGGTGCAGGAATGTTGTTTGACATATGCACGGAGTACTGAATATACACTAATTATAAATTTTTAAGTTTAATTAGTTCATGATTTGATAATATGGTGTTACAGTAAACATGGGCTAATGATAAATTAATTAGGCTTAATAAATTCGTCTCGTGAATTACTAAAGACTTCTATAATTTATTTTATTATTACTATCTAAATAGTCGATGTAACATCTTCCTATAGCACCCGTCGTGACGCTCTCAAACTTTAGTCCCCGTGTTCAAACGCACCTTCAACCCTCACACGCGAATGGAGCCTAGGCGGCGCCGGCGTCGTAACCGATGAGCGTAACGGCAGCGAGCAGTAAATGGCAATGCATGCATGCAGGTGCAGTTGGATCGCGACTTGCGACATGCAACCCTTTCTTCTTCTGCCGTTCGAGCTTTCACATCACTTGGCTGCTGGTGCTGGCTCTACTATTTAACACCACCACACCCTCCGGCTCTTCGCCTGCCTCGGCACAGCAGCAACACCAGAAACAAACCCCCGATACCTCGAGGGCCGATCGTGGCCATGGCGCAGGGCTGGTCGTCCTTTCCGGCGGACCTCGTGAACCGCGTCGCCGACTGCTTCCTGGCCACCAACGACCTCGCCTACTATGCGGACCTGCGCGCCGCCTGCCACCACTGGCGCTCCGTCACCGTCGACCCGGAGCAACCAGCATGACCCCGCTTCCGTCCTCCCGGTGGGTCATGCTGGATGAACCTAAGGTCGTCTCCTCCATCCTCACGATCCTCGACGACGGTCCTTCCTCTTCGTCAACACGGCCACCGGTCGCTTCCTCCGTATGAGACTGCCGATCCTCCGCGGCCTCTGCTACAAATTCGTCACAAGCACCGCCGACGGTCTCATCGTTCTGGCGGCCTTTTGACTCCACGGACGCCGAGAGCGTCCTCAACCCCTTCACCGGCTCCATGATCTGTTTTGCGGCTCGACTGCCAACCGAGCGGTCGGCATTCACTGCCTACGTCGTTGGTACAACGCCCACACTCGTGTTGGTTTCCGTCGCGTCAAACGATGTGTACTGGGCGGATCCCCAGAGCGGGTCTTTCTGTGGGAGACGCTTGGCAACTATCCTGCAAGCAGGCTGCCTCAGATTGCCGCCGCTGTCAACCGTGAATCTGTTCCTGGTGCCAAGAACATCTTCGGCCGCCGTTGTTATGCGGTGGAGGTCCCTGAGGGGACATACTGGCGGCCTTGAAGCGCCGCCGCGGCATGGATGTTTTCAAGATTGATGCTGCTGGGAACGTGATGGAGAGGGTCAAAGAGCATCGGTAGCCTTGCTCTCTTCCTCGGCGTCAGGTGCCTTGTTGTTGACACCGATTGCTTCCCGACGGTTGAGGCCAACTGCGCTTACTTCCAACTCATTGTCTCATTCCCTTGCCTGAGTTGCATCTACAAGTTTAAAATTGGAACTTATGAATAACAGCTGGTCTTGGCATCCATGGACAACTCGCGCCCTTATACATTAACGCACTTCCTCTGCAACTACACTATGGACATACCAGGTCATCTGATAACGTGGAAAAGCGCTTCATCGACCTCATGCTCAAGGGCTATGTCGATTGTGCTGACTAGTCCAGCGATCCGTGCTTAGAGACAATAAGTATTATTAGTTATTGTTTAATATATTTGTATTTGTATGTTTTTTCTCCTTTACTTTATATAAGAAGTCATGAGTCTTAATTTTGATTTTTCAAACTTTATGTTTAATTGACTGCTTATTATTATTGTACCTTTTAATTATGCTTTTTGCACTTCTTCTATATCTATGCCTGATAATAATAGAGAGATAAAGTTTCCGTCGTGATTTTGGTTTGATCTGGCCTCTCCTAGCTAGCCGTGCGGACGGTGGTTTGACAATGAGTTAGAGACGAAAACGGATCAATTTCAGCTACCAAAGATTTTTCCAAATCGAATTCACATGGACAGGTCTCCCTGCTGTGGTACATGGACGGATTGATGACGGGACGCGAGTTTAGATGACGCCCAAAGCACACCGGATCATCGACAGGATGCAGACTGCGAGCTGTAGAGATTCACGGTGTTGCACTAGGTGCAGAGTCCTCTGAAGCTTGGCAGCTGCGTGGCACTGGTTCTACTGCACGCCGTGGTGCTGGGGTGGCTTTCAGCGGGCGTGGGTGGCGCAGGTGCTGCGGCCTGAGACGGACGTTATGCGGTGGAGCGGCGCAATGTTGGGGCCTGGTGCTAGAGGCGGCGGTGCTCGTTTCTCCTCCTCTACGACAGCTCTATGCCTCTATCCGCCGATGAATGAGTCGAGTCGTTGGGACAGAGACAAATGAGACTGAAGTCCGACATTTAAATGAGCATGGAGTCCGATGAGCCATGTCTTAACGAGACAATCGATGCAAAAGGACCTACAACTCAACGCTAGAATGCATTCATATTTTTTTTAACAAATCTATTAGCGATTAGCGTTAATATTCTCCGTGCAATATAAAATTATAGTAGTAAATATTTATGTAAATAAATATCTCGAATCCTATTCTCGCTTTCATAGCTACGCTCTATATCGTCCCAATTATCTAGGGATCATGTTCTACTCTTCAACCAATCGCTATGCGAAGATATATACCCTCACGAACCGGAACTTAAATTTTTTATTCACGCATCCATTCCTCGCACCTTTCATATCGGGATCTTTGTGACACTCGGGATGAGCAAATCCAAAATAAATTGAAAGTAGCAACGTGTTCAACGCGTGTCCTAGGACTTCTATCGATAAATTAACGGAAGGGCTAGCGCCCGGACGTCTCGTCGCAGAGGCGCGTCCGGGACGCTGCTCTCGAGCCTGAATTGTGCTCATCCGCAGCCTCGCTACCGCTAGCCAACAATGTTTAAAATAGCGGGCTATTGAAAATAGCGGCAATTTTTTTCTAGAAGCTATGCAGCTATAGCGGCGCTATGCCGAGCGCGTTTTATATAAAAAACATGAAAAACACCGTAATTGATAAAAAACATGGCAAATATGAAATTCGATGAACACAAATATGTTTCTAAGGTTCCACAATTCTAGATAACATTACCAAATACCAAATGACATTACAACATGATTCATGAAAGTTTAACTGTCCAAAATACTAAATTAGTAGCAAATGATAACTAATAAGTAGAAAATAACTAATTAAAGTGTCACTGTTGTAGTGCAATTTCAAGGACACAAGTGCAATCTAATCTGAGATGGACTTCTCAGAGTCGGACTGAGAAGATGGATCACTTGCAGATTGGCGGTGCACGCCACGCCATGATCATCATCATTTTCTCAGATCACAAGATGAAGCAGCTACAATCTCAGGCACAGATTGTTTGCCATCATTAATATCAGTGATCTTCTTTACCCTCTTCTTTAACCTAGGGCGGACAACTCTCTTCCTTTTACCATGTTCTGTTCTTCATTGGTGCAACCTCTTGTTCCTGTTCTTTCCCACCTTCAGCTTGGGGGTCTTTTGGTTTTTCTTGTTCATCATCTGCTGCAAGTGCAACTCCAGAGATAAATTCATTGTCATCATCTTCTAGAATATCTACAACTTGCTTCTCAATGGGGTCCTTTGCCTTATTCTCTTTTTATGTTTCAGCCTGGAGTTAAATTTTACATACATAAGGTCACTCATCCTGCCATGAAGCAATTTGTTCCTTCTCTTTGAGTGAACCTGTGCAGCCAATTGGAATCGCAATAAATCCAAAATAAATATCCATGTTAGTAGGACTGGTACTGCAGTAGAAAACTAAATAACACTAGTAGTACTGTTGTTGTAGTAGAAAACTTAATACTAGACACTAAATGATTCT